CTCTCTCTCTCTCTCTCTCTCTCTCTTACCGGTACTCAACGGTGACGACTACAACATCGCCTTTGGTGGCCAACACGTGTCCGCTGTAAAAGTTTTCCAGAGCTGACCCAACGAGTAGAGCCCCGCCGTGAATCCAAAACATCACTGCCTTTGGCTCCGTCTCACTGTCCTCTTTGCTGTCCACCGGAGACCATATGTTTAGATACAAACAGTCCTCGGAATAGACTTTGTTGTTAAAGTTCTCGAGGAATGGGTTTGTCTGATGACACGGTGCCGGCCATTGGCTCGTCTCCCTGGGCTCTGACCACGACTGTACCGGCACTGGCTTTTTGAACCGCAGGCCCCCAACCGGCGGCTCCGCGTAAGGGACCCCCAAAAATACGTTATACTCCCGGCCGTCGAAGTGCTCCGACCGTCCGTTCACTATACCGTTTGCCGTCTGTACCGTTACAACTGGGCTGTCGTCGCACCGGACGGTTGCGGTGATGGTTAGCCCTATTAGGGCTATGATTGGCATTAATCTTATGCCCATTTTTATTAGAAATGGTTATATTTTTGAGTAATAAGTGTTTGTTTTACACTTAAAATATCGCATAAAATGAATGAAATGTCAATTTTTTATTTTAGACATAAAACAGTGATTTATGTATAAATATGTGGTAAAATAAATCTAAAATATGATGTTGTTTGATTTAATCGCCTAGTTAATTTTGAAGGCCCTTATTGTATGTGTATGTGGTTGAAGGCCGGCTATGTTAACAACCTTTGAGCTCTGGTTAATATTTGAGTAAAATTAATGTTTGATAATTTGTATAATAAGTATTGGTTTATTCCTATTTTATATTAATAATGACAGTAATTATAATCTTAACTTTAAAATAAATGATTTTTGGTGATGTGATAATAATGATAATAGAGAATAAATGATAATCTTATTATTTAGTCTATTATGAGCGTAAAGTAACTGCAATTTTATTAAATTTTGAAAGTTAGTTACAAAATATACAATGCTTATGTTGTTGTTAATAGTTATTATTGATAATAATACTTATACATTAATACAGGATTATTATATTCATAGAATAATTAATTAGTAATGTTACCTAGAAAGTTATAAGTTTTCCGTTTGAATACATGATTTCAAACATTTGTACTTTAAATTTTAAAGTTTAAAACAAAGATTTATTAATGTTAAACTTTATAATAAATTTTCTATATATTAATTTAATTTGATCTGTGATAATTTGTAAACAAACATTTGCATTTGTAATTGATTAAGTAATCTGATTAACTAATTAAAAAATTCTGTTATTAAAAGTAATAGTTACTAACTAAAGTTTAATTGTTAACGCATTTAGTGTTGAGAATTGGCACCTAGTTATCTAATTTGGACTGTGATGGTGATGTTTGTATGTATCGGGTTTATCAATTATCACTTGTTTTATCATGCTCACTGTTGATCAATATACTTTTTCCATAAGTACTCGCATTCAACAATCTTATATCCGGCACCAAAATTAGTGACCGGTTTGGGTTGACTCGTAATCTCGTAATACGGAGTTATTGTATAGTTGTTTAGCCGATAATATTCGTCCCAATGGGCGCTCTCTTGTGGCGGGGGTTGACTATAGTGTTGGGCAAAACAAATGATATTAGAAATACAACATTATATAATTTATTTTTGGCACTATCAAGCAAATTGGGGATAAAAATATTGCAATGGGAAAAATTCCCCTGATTAATGCCCGCAAAAAACTAATACTAACCCAGTTTTGGCAAATGTTGAAAATATGTTGATCACTTTGGCCGACACGTGGCGTTCCCCGTCGACAAACCTGTCCGCCTGATAGAAAGGCACTCCAAACACCGGGTATATGTCATCCAAATGGCAAACACCAGCCCAATTGCTGCACACCAACTTTGGTCGACCCAGTTTGCTATTATACAAGTACTGATACACGCGGGTTTTATCAGGGTCATTTTCAAACAACGTGCGGCCAAACTGGAGCCCTGGGCAGCTCAATATGTAATCACCCACAGCTATGCCTATGGTCTGCCGGAGCAGGTCGTCGGGCGACTCATTGGACAAGCCGTTGAAGTAGACTTTAGCCGCCAGTTCCCCATCGATGGGCTCTTTAGACCACATTTTACGCGATATACGGCTCAACTCGTTGTACGCTTCGGTGTATGTGATAGCGGGCGGTGACTATCGGGCGTATTTGACAGAGTCCTCGCTAAACCACAATATAAAGGAGCCCTCGTCCTGAGTGGTGCCCAGCATTACATTAACCGAGTGCTTGTGGTCACCACTGTTAAGCATCTTGAGGGGCAGATCCGGCAAAAACTCACCATCAACCACGACAACGGTGTTCCAGCCCACCACACCCTCCATCAAAGTTGGCATAAATGGTATGGCCGCCAGTGTCTCGGCCGGTGCCCTCTGGAAGCACTCGATGATCTCCGGAGTGAATTCAGTGGCCGGCGGTTTGTCGGCCGGTGTGCACCCGATAGCCTGCGCCCCTTTAAGCCACTTGAGGGCCACATCGCCGGCCGGTTCGCCGGCGTTTCGATTGATGGCAGACCCGGACATGAGTATAGCGTTTTGAAACAGGTGTCGACTGACGGGCGACAGGATGTGTAAACTCGCAGACCATCCGCCGGCCGACTGACCAAACAATGTTATACGCGAGGCGTCGCCACCGAAGTGCTGGATATTGTCCGACACCCACTGCAGTGCCAGCGCCTGATCCCAGAGACCCATATTTCCAGGACCCACATCAGTGCCCGTATAGAGAAAGCCAAATGTGTTCAACCTAGATTCATTAGTTGTTTAGTAATTAAAGTTTTTCATTCAGCATGGTTAGTTCTCTCTCTCTCTCTCTCTCTCTCTCTCTCTCTCTAAGGATTAGTAGTGGATTAGTGCAGCATAAAACAATGCAATTTTTTTCGCACCTAGTTCACAAAAAGGGTTGCATTTGCCACCAATGTGCGAATAAATGCACTGCTCTATGCTGTGATAATTAACACTACTAATCCTCCTGCCTTTAACTTTATATTGCGATATAATACTCTGAGTGTATACATAACTGTGTGTACAATAGAGTTAAGCAAACAAAACACTTCTGCGATCACTGTTTGTGGACATAGTTTTGCAGCAATAAATCCCAACACAGGGACTATTCAATTAAATAGTACATTAAATTAATATCATATCAAAATACATGATAATAAACAATGATTTAAACATTTTAATACCCATAAAGTGATGGTAAACGTGAAGAAATGTGATTTGATTTGACTTTTTTCTCAACACAAAGAATACGGTATCGAATAAATCAAATAACTTAGAGTAAGCGTAAACCGCTTTCGCCGGTAATTCGGCGATCGCTTTCTCTGACCACTCGTTACGGGCCGGCAGTCGTGTTAACCATGATTTGTGGCCGTAGTCGAGCCATCCGATCGATGCGTATACAAAATAAGCGTTGATTACAACTAATATAAAGTTATAAATCATTATTATTTTGCGCAAAACAAACGGCTTTCGGTCTTTCATATAATTTGGTCCCAATTTTGTCACAAATAGTAACCAAAACAACATAATTGTTAGGAAGAGCTCCGGTCCTCCACCTAATAACGGGTAGTTTCTGACCAGATCTTCCGTCTCTTCTACCCAATAGTCATGTAAAACATATTTCAATATATTTAAACTCATGTCTGTAATAAAATGTATATCATGTATTTTTAAAATTCACACAAAATATATATATCTGGTAATAAAAAATTTATTTAGTTTGTTATATAAATTTTTATAAGGATATGCATATTGTTATTTGTTTTAATTAACTAATTTAATAAAACAATTTTAATTACTTTGAAGCATCGCATTTGGTAAATTACAAGGAAAATGTTTATTTTTATAACTAAAACAATTGATATCGCAAACAACAAACATTTAACAATGTCTTTTATAAAGTACTAATTATTGTAAATGAGCAATAGTTATAGAAATTAACTCTAAATTCAATTTTTGTGATACTTTAGTTCAAACGTTATAATAACTGTACATTTAGATAATTTTAATAAGAACATTTATAATTGTTGGAATGTCAACATACATTTAATCCATCATACTCAAATCTTACTGACTTTCTATCAGTCTATTAACAACAACATGATCTTTGTATACTGTATTTTGTAACTACCTTTCAAAATTTAATAAAATTTCAGTTAGTTTACGCTCAAAATAGACTTAATAATAAGATAGGACCAATAATAATTTATGTTAAAGTTAAGATTATAAATTATAATTTATAATTATTGTTATTATTAATATAAAATAGGAATAAACCAATACTTATCATAACAATTATTAAACATTATTTTTACTCAAATATTAACCAGAGCTCAAAGGTTGTTAGCCGGCCTTCAAACATGTACACTGTGTAAGTTACATATAAAACAAGTGCAAAATTAACTAGGCGATTATATCAAACAACATCATATTTTATATTTATTTTATTAAATATTTATAGATAAATCACTATTTCTGTCTAAATTAAAAATTGACATTTCATTCATTTTATGCAATATTGTAAGTGCAAAACAAACACTAATTACAATAAATTAGTACTAATCAGTACTAAGTGTTTGTTTTGCACTTCTTTGCACTTGCACTTTCAAATATCGCATAAAATGAATGAAAAGCTATTACTCAAAAATATAACCATTTCTAATGATAATGGGCATAAGATTAATACCAATCATAGCCCTAATAGGGCTAACCATCACCGCAACGGTCCGGTGCGACGGCAGCCCAGTAGTATCGGTACAGACGACAAACGGTATAGTGAACGGACGGTCCGAGCACTTCGACGGCCGGGAGTATAACGTATTTTTGGGGGTCCCGTACGCGGAGCCGCCGGTCGGGGACTTGCGATTCAAAAAGCCAGTGCCGGTGCAGTCGTGGTCAGAGCCCCGGGAGACAAGCCAATGGCCGGCGCCCTGTCATCAGACAAACCCATTCTTCGAGCACTTTAACAACAAAGTCTACTCCGAGGACTGTTTGTATCTTAACATATGGTCTCCGGTGGACAGCAAAGAGGACAGCGAGACGGAGCCAAAGGCAGTGATGTTTTGGATTCACGGCGGAGCTCTACTCGTCGGCTCAGCTATGGAGGACTTTTATAGCGGACACGTGTTGGCCACCAAAGGCGATGTTGTGGTCGTCACCGTTGAGTACCGGTAAGTTCTGAACCGGAGAG